CCACCCAACCATTCTTCTAACATTGTTTCTGTAAAATGATGACTTGTAAATTCACATGTAGCTACTGATAAATAGCCTGTTTGCTTAAAGGATTTTTGGAGCTAACCTCAAAGGAAGCCAACTCCAGCCTTCAGGCATTTCAACTCCAGGAGGTTTCCAGATCATCACTTGACTGGCTCAGAGATGGTTATCGGAGCAGACTATGCTGATTTGCACAGAGCACCCTCAATGAGAGCCCACAACCCCCTCTGGTTTCTTTTGTTCTGCCTTTTCCTTACCTACTCATAAAAACCCCTGTCTGCACTGAGATGCTACCATGTTCTTTGTGACAGCTTCTCAAGCTGCTGGTTCTTGAATAAACCTGCTTTCCTTCTCACACCCTGTCTTTTGATTATTGATTTTTGAGCGGCAGGCAGCTGACCCTGGGTGTGGTATCATTATCATCTCCCAATATTTGTAGAACAAATAAAATAAAGCTCTTTTGGGCTCTGGAATCTTTCATCACAGTTTGGTAAGTATGTCATGTCTTATGAAGTAAGACACACCTGGCTCTGCCCTGCTCTTAATCGTATACAAATCACACCTAACCGACTTTACAGTTATTTTTCTATAAAATAGGGTAACAACACTTAATTCACGAATTTGTGGAAATAGTTAAATCAAATAATATACATAAAATTGCCCAATGTGTTATCAGGAACATGGTGGTGGGTTGAGCTCTTTCTTTGTGCCTCCTCACCATCCTTTCTCAATAGGGGAGTAATCTACAGTACTCAGACGTTGCAAAAGAGAGGCAACAAACTGTGAGAGAAATATCTGATTGTTATTTATATTGTCTTCAGTCAAAATGTTAAAATGTTTTTTTAAAAACCCTAAGCTCCATCAGCTCTGTAAATTACAAAACTGTACTGGACTCTGAGTCTCAGTCTTTCTCCTGAACCCCTGCGTGAGAAACTTCAATTGCAGTTGTGCATCGCAAGCCTAACAGCATATTCTCAGAGAATTCTCCACGCACCTTATCTTCCTCCCCAACACTAGTTAAATCATTGCACTAAAAAATCTACCCCTTCTTGTATTCTTCTTTCACAGCACTTTTAAGAGCTTCGATCATAATACAGTTATCACCCACTTTTCGAAAATTTGAGTTACACCAATTCGCTTTTACTTAAGACCTAAATTTTTACCTGTTTTTGCTAACCAAAAGAAGTCCAAAGAAAACATTTTGTTTTTAAGAAAAAAGGGAAAAATAAAAAATAGCATTCAGCATTTGTTTTGCAGTGAGCTATTATGGAGGCAGCCACACCTGGAGCAGAGAGAATGCATCCCACCCTCTTCCAGGAGCTACACTCAGCATCTCAGCATCAAGCTGCCACCGCTTTGAACTGGGTCTATAAGCATCTGTGCTTTATCTTGATTTATTTTGTGCATTTGTTAGCAAGATGTGTCCTAAGGTATCAGAAAAGACTTTGCTTTTGATCCTTTCCCTTGTAGAGCTGATCAAAGTTACCTTTATGAATGGAACCACCCAGGCCTTGTGGGTTCCTGCTCCAGGGTCACCAATAGGCACTCTCAAGCACATTGTTTTCCACATGGTGTCACTTGACAAATGGCCAAGAGTCTTGGCTCATGAGGTAGGATTTTTAGGTTCCCTGACACTGTTGTCTGTTGTACCGTGCTATTAGATTCTAAATGACGTGGAGTTATTAGAAAACTTATAAAGGCAATTTTTAAATTGGAGCAAAAGAAATTATGAGATCATTTCAATCTCACAATACCACATTTGTTTTTTCCTAATGAAAGTTCAATAATAGATGTCAGCTTTTTAAAGCTATGAGTGCAAATTTTTTTATTACAAGCTAAAGAGGATAAATTGAATGGCAGAAATTGCCAAAAACAAACCTGATTATTGCTACATGAGTACTGGGCCACTTAAAGGAATGGACCATTATCAAGAAATTTCATAGCCATTATTAAAATATGTTATTTGAGAAATTAAACATAAAATTGAAGCAAGATGGCAAAAGCAACACAAAATCAAATGGCAACTCCAAAGGTGAATCAAATAGTCAATGAAGTAGCCTACCACACAAAGAAAACACCATGCAAAAAATTTATATATATTTTCTACAGACAGGCGGTCGTCTATGGAACTGTGGATTCCTTCAATGCAAATTGTGTTGTATGTGTGTTATATTTATCGGTTGCGAAAAATCACATGGGAAAGAAAATATCATGCTTTTCCTTTCAGAATAAAATGCCTAAGGCTTCCATTTCCCCTATGGACATGGCCTTGCCAAGTGTACGCTGATACTCAGATCTACTAACTAACATCTTTCTGACCAATGCTTGGTACAGGAAAGGCACTGCCAGGTTTGGTTCCTGTGACTTTTACCATGCTTCTATGACCTACAAAAATCCTCCTCTTTACTATCACATTAGTTTTTCTTGTTGCATGAATGCCTTTAACAATTATAGTGCAGTCTTCTAAGATGTTCCCATAATAAATGTTTAATGTTAGTTTTCTAGATAATTATCTTTAAAAAGTTTATATAAGTTTATGCTTGATTCTGTGAATGAATCTTTTTTAAAATTTATTTATTAATTTATTTTTGTTATAGATGTTTCTATTTTTCCCCCATTGACACCCTCCTCTCCTTCCCCCCTACCCCATCCACAGCTTTGTTGTCTATGTTCATTGGTCATGCAGACATGCATGTAAATTCTGTGGTTTATCTCTTCCCCCACAAACCCCCCTCCTCTGCTTGTCAGTCTGTACCCCACCTCTATGTCTCTGGGTTAATTTTGTTCAGCAGTTTGTTTAGTTCATTATATTCCACAAATAAGTGAGATCATATGATATCTGTCTTTCTCTGCTTGGCTTGTTTTGCTTAGCATAATACTCTCCAGGTCCTTCCATGCCATCTCAGAGGATAAGAGATCTTTCTTTCTTACAGCTGCATAGTATTCCATTGTGTACATGTACCACAGCTTTTTAATCCACTCATCTACTGATGGACACTTGGGTTGTTTCCAGATCTTGGCTATTGTAAATAGTGCTGCTATGAATATGTTGGTACATATATTCTATCTGATTGGTGTTTCAGGTTTCTTAGGGTATATTCCTAGAAGTGGGGTCACTGGGTCAAGTGGCAGTTCAATTTTTAACTTTTTGAGGTAACACCATAGTGTTTTCCACAGTGGCTGCACCAGTATGAATGGATATCTTAGACATTTTATTTTTAAGCTTTAATCAGTGTTGTGTTTGTGATGTCACTGTGTTGGAGTCAAATTAGTATTACTTTAACTGTTATGAGCTAGTGTGAAAAGGGCAGAAATAGACCTAGAACAAAAAATGTTTTGGGGGCCAAATAAGGCCAAATGGCATCACAGTACTTACACTAATGAAAATTTCAAAGTAATTTGAATAGAAAATGAGGCTAGAACATTGAATTACCATGTGGTATGTTGTAGTACAGACCTGCAGAATTTAAAGAGCTGGTCCTGTAAGAGGAGTCAATGCCATATTCATGTTGTAGGCAATAGTTGTAACAAAAAGATAGTGTTACATTAAGGTAGTTAATTTAAAGTTTTTATATTTAATTTATAAATTTGGTTTTAAAATAATTTATAAGAAATATGTTTGTAAGCTTATATATGAAGCTCTACTTAGATTTTGACATTAAATAACACTATAATAAGAGTAATTTAAGTCAGTGCTGTGATCAGAGAATTCAGTTCTTTACAAAATGTTTTATTCAAGTTTGAGAAACTTGTTTTACATTAAACCTCACACCCACTGCCGAAATTATCTGTAGACAGGGCATTTGCAATTATTTCTTTTACTGTTGGACAGTTCTGATGATTCGAAAGTTCAATTTTTATTGTTTGCTGCAATTACATTTTATGTAAGTTCCAACCATCGGTGATAGTTATACTTAGGAACAAATTAAGTCGGCCTTCCTTCCGTTGGAACTTTTAGTTATAGGAGGATACCTATCATGTTTTCCCTTAATCTTGTTTCCACAAATATTCCTGAGAACTTACTTTGGACAAAACATTGTACATTAGCTATATTTTTTTGCCCTGAAGGGCACTAAACTCCCTTCAGCATTTCCTTGAAAGATACTTTTTTTTTTCCTAATTACTGTAAATTACACATCCTCTAGTGATTTCCCTCTTGAAATGTGACACTTAAAAATAAACACATAGAAAATGGAGACTTATTCTTATGACCAATAATAATAAGGAATTATTAAACTCATTAATGTATTAGGCATATAAGAGGGGCAGATACAGAAGAAGGGTAGATACACTATTGACACACTATTCTTTCCTTTAAAGAGTCTGAATATAGTTGGAAATGAAGATTACAATAATTCATTTATTATTAAATTTATTGGGGAAAGAGTACAATTTTAGATAACGTTAAGTATTGTAGAAATTCAGAGGGTTCAGAAATCTGAGTTCTAAGGTCATTATTGAACGTTTCTGGGTTTTAACTAAGGTTGTTCTCAAAGCTACAGCGGGTCTGAATACTCCCAGTGCAAACAAGCACCCAAGTACTTTGTGCAAAGTAGCATAAGTATTGGTAATGCCAAAACTGGAACTTGGGGTTTTTTGCTCTTTGTCTATTCCTTCCCCCTCTCTTCAGAGCAGAAACTGGAAATCGTTGCTTGAGAAAGCAAATTTTTAACTAAATTTACAATTTTGGGAAAGGCCACTGAAATTTAAACTTCGCAAAGCTCAAACTCTCGCGACTGTTCCCTGTTGAGCCTGTAGCCAGTGAAAACTGCTCCTGCGTGGAAACAGGAAGAATGCTTCAAGTCTGGAAAGTAACCTACCGGCCGTGTTTCCGGAACTCTAGCTGCCTTGAGTACCACGGAGGCTGTTTTGCACATGCGCAGAAGGGAAGCTTGGGCGGGGAGTTCCGGCGCGTCGGGTCGCGCTCCAGGCGGCGATTGGCGCCGCCCGGGCTGAGAGGCGGGACCGCAAGCGCCGTGTTGTGGGACTCAGCCGGCTCAGTTCCGGCGTCTTTCCAGCGCCCTGCTTCCAGCCTTCGGTGCTGCTTTTCAGAGGTGCAATGGGGGAAGCGGAGAAGTTTCACTACATTTACAGCTGTGATTTGGATATCAACGTGCAGCTTAAGATGTAAGAGAATCTGGGGACGGGCCCTGGGGTTGCTGGAGGTTAGGGACGGAGAGGTAGGAGCCTGTGGGTTTTGGGGAGAGGGTGGTTATTAGCCTGACGCCGGCCTAGGGGCGGCGGGGAGGGCTGCGGCCAGGGCAGGGAAACCGGAGAGCGGAGAGGGGTGTGCGGGAGAAGCACCGAGGACGTGGTATCTGGGAGAAGGACAGCGGCTGGAATAAGCCCTGACGTCCTACGGAGTTCTACTTTCGTCAAAGCAGTTTGCTCTGCACAGCAGCCTTTTGAGGGATTACTGCCCCATTTTGCAGAGGAAAATGGGGCAGTGTCGGTAAAGTCGTCCCGCAGTTAGTAATTGGAAGATCATTCCTTTAGAAGGACTGTAAGGGAGAGGCAGACACAGGCCAATGTAGCCGAGAATAAGATACGCACATGGCACTAATGTTAGAAGCACAGTGAGTGATAGAGGGTTGCGGTGAATCTTTGGACGGTCTGGCATTGTTTTGCCAGGGAAGTTGTGAGTGAGTCGAAGATGAGGGTGCCAGGTGCAAAGGAACTAGAAGACAGGAGAAAAGGGCCTTGCAGGAAAATCTTGGGGCGTCACTGTTGAAGTAAAGGCCAAGGGCATGACATCTTGAGATGAGAATAATGGAACTAAGGTGGAACACAGGTAGGACAGATTTGGAAATTATGTCTATTTTAATGCAGACTTAGAGGAGTGTTTTCCCGTGCAAAATTTGCCACAAATTATTAATCACAACATCATTCATAATATTTCAGTATTCAGCTAGTGTTCCTCAGGCAAAGGGCTGCATACCTGCAGTGAATACATTTTCTCAGTTGTCAGGTGCACCTTTGATAGATTGTTTATTTTTATTTTCAGAAGTTACCTATGACTCTGACAATTTACTCTTCCTTTTGGATGATGGTAAAAATAATGTCAACAGCCATATTATCCATTTTACTTTATACACCCATTGAAGGTAATTTCTGCATCAAAAACCACCATATGCTTATACAGGACCTGTATGCCATCGTCCGGTACAGGGCTTTCCTTCAGTCTTATTGCTCTCAGTATTTCTTGGACATATGAATGTATTTTTGAAACTTTTGAACATTAAAAGGAAAGAACAAAAACACTGGTCCAGTACTAACAGATATACACATTGAATATTTTGAGGCAAAGATAGAAGTTTGGTAAAATTTAGTACTAACCATCTTTTAGCTTCTAAGACTGTCATTGGTTGTTTGTTCTTCCCAGGCCTTTTCATCTATTTCTGTGGTTTTAATAACGACTTGCACTTTGATGTCTCTTTTCCTAGCACCATAATTGAATATCAAACTATCTACAAGACATGGTTACTTTGGATATCTCAAAGCACGTTAAAAGTAACTTGTCCCAAACTGAGCACATCATTAGCCTACCCTTCTAACTGAAAGTCTTGTGTTGTCTCACCCTGTTAGCAACAATCATGGAGTTTGTTCAGACAGAAAACTTCGAATCATGCAGACACAGTCTTTTACCTTCTCAATTTAATCATTCCCAAGTTGTCTTGAATCTACTTGCTAATTATCTTTTCTACCCCACTACCCTAGCCTTAGCCTACCTTTTTCCTTTCTAATTTTGATGGAAAATCTAACTGATCTTGCTTTCGGTCTCACCTCTTCATGATGTTCTTAAACTCCTGCCAAAGATTCCTTAAATACAAATCTAACTATATTCTCACTTCAGATTAATTCATTTAACAGATTTTTGAATGTTCATTGTGTAAGGCACTGTACTGAATTTGGTGGCTACTGTGCCTCATTGTCCCCATACTTTTTATTCTCTAGCTTCTTCCCTATATGAGCTTTATGCTTTCCTATACCAAACAACTTGAAGTTTCCCAAACATACCATCTTTCTCTTTGCTTCTGTATACTGTTCTTTTCTCCTGGGATGACTCCCTACCTCTTTGCTCCCTTTCCCAGATATTATTTTGGCTCATTTCAGACATCTTTCTGGGACTGGGAGCCCCCAAGCTCCTAGACTTTTTGATGTACAGTGTCTTTCTGTGGTGGGAAGATTGTTGCTTTGACCTTCTTGGCCCAGGATTTTAATTTCAGACCTGTTACTTTGTGACCCTTGATCTCTGAGTCTCTGCTTTATCATTTATAAAATGAGAATATGGTTACAATCTTGATATCCAATTGATGTTTCTACCTCTTTTATAATTTCCTATGCCTGTCTTTTATGACTTATAACACTGTATTTTTTAATTGAACAAAATGATTAGATAATACATCCACATAATAAAAAATAAAAAAAAGAATATGAAGATAAAAGTAAGTTTTCTCCCCAGAAGCAAGTACTTAACATTTTTTTGTAATGCTGTATTGTTTATCTTGTCTTTCATTTCTGGGCCACTGGGCCTAGTACAATGAATGTTTTGAAAGAATAAATAAGTAAGTGCTCTGCTTGAAATTAATGAACTAAGTAAAACTAAGGCCTGGAAAGCTGGTGATGTTTAGAAGGTTGATCAAGAATTATGACAGGATTTAAAATTAAGAACCCTAACATAGAGAAATGTGTTGATGAAGATAGAAATGATTTTAGGATTTTGAGATACCTTCATTGGATATAAAAGTAACTTTAAATTCATATACAGGAAAATGTTTAGGTAGCCTAAGATTTGTGTGACAAAAATCATAAACTCTTTAGTATTTTTTGTCTGTATTCTTTAAAAATGTTTGTCTAAACCTTATTGTTCTTATACTTCCAGAGGAAGTTTGGAAGGGAAGAGAGAACAAAAGAGTTATAAAGCTGTTCTGGAAGACCCAATGTTGAAGTTTTCAGGATTATACCAAGAGACATGCTCTGACCTTTATGTTACTTGTCAAGTTTTTGCAGAAGGGAAGCCTCTGGCCTTGCCAGTGAGAACGTCCTACAAGGCGTTTAGTACAAGATGGAAGTAAGTTGTTTTTTTGCATATGGTGGGTTCCAGACTATAGTTCCATTTCTTTGTAGATGTTGTAAATATGATTTGGTAGTAATTACAGAGGGATTTTTTAAAACTTTAATACCTGTAAGCATTGATTGAATAGTTTAAATCAATAATCTGCTCAGCTAGAATAAAGTATTAAACATAACTCAATTAAGATGGAAGTGAATTTGTATTCAGTATATTGACATATTTTTGTAATCCTCACCCGAGGACATTTTTCCATTTTTTGTTCAGGTAGAATGGAAGGGAGAGAAAGGAACAGAGAGAGAGAGAGAAACATCGATGTGAAAGGAACACATCAAGTGGCTGCCACCCGCACAACTGACCAGGGCCGGGGACAAACTGCAACCGAGGTACGCGCCCTTAGCGGGAACCGAACCCGGGTCTCTCAGGACCGCAGGCCGACGCTCTAACCACTGAGCAAAACCGGCCAGGGCAATTGACATATTTTTATAGGAACTTGACTGAGTCACAAAATAACTCAAATCAAAACATGTAGCATCTTTATTCTCTATTATTCTATGCCTTTGAACATATAATCACTCTTGGTAGTTTGAAGTGTTGTTTAGTCAGATGTTTGGGATTCAGGTTTTTAAACAGATCTATTATGTTCAGATCCTGTTTTTATTATATGAAACCAACTGTTTTTTTAAAAGTTCATAGTTTATTGAGTATGATTTATTAGCAAACATTGTCAGGATGCACGGTAGATATAATGAACTGAAGTTACTGTTTTTCCAGAAAAGTATTGTGGATTCTTAAAGTAACCTCCTGATACTTCTTATTTGATAGGTTATATGGTGCAGTTTTAATGCTTGATCCATGAGTGTTATTCAGTACCCTCATAGGCTAGTTGCAGGATACATATGTTGTGTGCCTCTAGAAAGGAGCTTATGCCCACAGTGCTCATGGAAGACAAGGTGTGGCCACATGGACTGCAGGCTCTGCTGTTGAGTGTGCAACCCTACATTTATCAAGCGTCGTCCAGCAGGCTGGGAAGGGTTTTTTAGAGAGAGCAGAAGCCTGAGCTCTGGTGATCTGGCTGCATCGACACCAACTATTTAAATGGTGTAATTTCTTTAGTAGTCTTTTTGTGAATAGACACACACACACACACATACACACACTTGCACATATACTTGTTCTGGAAAATTTCAAACCTGTAAAAGTAGTGAATGTAGTATAATAAACTGCCAAGGCCCCATCACCCAGCTTTGATTACTACTAACTCAAGGCCAGACTTGATTATCTGTACCCACTGTTAATTTGAAGCAAATTCCAAATACATTATCCTAATTGTAAATATTTCTGTACATCTCTTTTTAAAACAACTACAGTATCATCATAACATCTAAAACAACAGACCAAAATTTATTAATTGTATCAGAGGTTATACTGGAGTCAGGATATCTACCAAACCCTGAAACTGTAAGCAGAATTTTGTGTGTCCTATGAAATTTTTACAGGGACAAAGCTTAAAGCTTTTCATTAGACTTTTTTACTTTTTTTTGTTTTTGTTTGTTTGTTTTGTTTTTGGTGGTATGTACCCCTTGCGAGAACCGAACCCGGGAGTCTCTGGTCCGCAGGCCGACGCTCAACCGCTGAGCCAAACCGGCCAGGGACAGCTTTTCATTAGACTTTTTGAGGTGGCTTGTGACTGCAAAATAGATTTATATCCACAAATTTAGTTCTAGAAAGTCAACAGTTATTAATTCCATTTTCTTGGTACAGAAAATTGTATAGTAGTTTTGTTCCATGCCTTGGCATTAATGAAAATTAGAGCAAAAGCAAAATCTCAGTTACAAGGAGATTCAAGTTCTTCTCCTCCTCCCTTTGCCAACTTCTCTCTGTATTACTTATGTGTGACATATTTTGAAGGATATAAAAACTGCCATAATTTCTCTCTAAAAGTTTGCATTTTTAAAAATTGTGCAACTACTTAATAAAATAAGTACTCTAAAATAATTAAGACATGGCTTTTAAAAATAAAATTAAAATATTTATTCTTTTTTTTTTTGAGAGGGTGGAAGAGGTGAAAATTTTCACAATTCATTTTGTATATTGTCACTGGTTGATTTTTCTCTTTAACTTTAGTCTGTGTTAACCTTTGTGGTTTGTTCACTAGCTGAAGATGACACTGCTTAGTATTTACCTTTCAGCCTGGTCCACCATGTGGATAGTAATTAAATAAATTCATTTTATTCCGTAGGCTTATCTGTAATGGAGAATGGCTTTTTTAGACATGTGATTTATTTTTTCGAGCCTTTTTTTTTTTTTTAATCCTCACCTGAGGACATTTGTTCATTTTTTTTTGTTCAGATAGAGTGGGAGGGAGCGAGAGGAAGGGGAAGAGAGAGAGAAACATCAATGTGAAAGGGACACATCAAGTGGCTGCCACCCGCACCACCCAACCAGGGCCGGGAACTAACTGCAACCGAGATACGCGCCCTTAGTGAGAACCGAACCCGGGTCTCTCTGGACCGCAGGCTCTAACTACTGAGCAACACCAGCCAGGACTTTTGAGACCTTTATAGAAGAAAATAATTTAATGGCTTTGATTCTCCTTTAAATTGATAGCGATCTCTAATTTTTTTATAGGTCCTTGAATTTATATGGTAGATATAAATGATTTGTCCTTTAAGTTTTTGAAAGTTCTGTTCAATTTCTTACCGATACAAATGTATTTGACTTAGACTGGTGTATGCCCCTTTGAGAATTGCTTTGAGTAAACAGAATGTAATTTTGAGTTGAGAGAGTAACAGTTCTGTGTCTGCTGTCTGTTGCTTTGTGTATTGTTGGCATAGTTTTCTTTCTTTTGCATAGTTTTCTTTGGGGATTATAAAAACCAGCTGTTGTTTAAGGGACTTGAAATTATCAAATAAATGAAGTTTGAGTACTAAAAAAAAATTTGCCAAGATGAATAAAGAATAAAAAAGACCCTGGCTGGTGTGGCTCAGTGGTCGAGCATTGACCCAGGCACCAAGAGGTTGCTGGTTCGATTCCCGGTCAGGGCACATGCCCAGGTTGTGGGCCCGATCCCCAGTGACGGGCATGCAAGGGGCGGCCAGTCAATGTTTTTTCACATTGATGTTTTTAATCTCTCTCTCCCTCTCCCTTTTTCTCTCTCAAAATCAGTAAAGAAAAAAAATTTTAAAAAAAGAAAAAGAAAGAGGTCTGCTGTCATTACTATATATTAAGAACAAATATTCCTTAGAGAAATTTGTATAAACATGCTTTAAAAGCATAAAAAACTAATAGGTAAGAATTATCAATATCAATGCAATAACTTGAAGAACAGAAAAATATCTCCTAAAAAAGGTCACATGTCTGTATAGAGCTGTCTGGTGACTTCATGTTACAAAAGTGGTGGATAGCCTACTTAACCCTCTTTCAGGTTCTTGTTGTTTCTGCTTCATTGAGATATATTGTAGGACCATGTTATCTTTAGCAGCATTTTGAATGTAATATGAGTAATTCTGTTTCTTGTCTTTTCATAGTACAAAATCTGTGTTCTGGGGAATGCTTACAGTTTGGTTTAAAGCAAGTTTGGCTATAAACAGGTTAAATGTTTTCCCAGATTATTTTTAGCCATTATTGTATTCCTTGTGACTTAGTGATATTGTCTGATTTTTAAAAAATATGTTTTTATTGATTTTTTTTAGAGAGAGAGGAAGGGAGAGATAGAGATTGAAACATCAGTGTGAGAGAGAAACACCCATTGACTGTCTCCTGCATGCCCCCTACTGGGGATCAAGCCTGCAATCTGGGCATGAGCCCTGACTGGGCTTCGAACCAGGACCTCTCAGTCCGTGGGACAACGCTCTATTCACTGAGCCCCACTGGCTGAGGCTGAGGTTTTTAAAAAAATTTTTTTTTCTTTATTGATTTTTTTAGAGACAGAAGAAGGGAGAGGGAGAAAGAGATAGAAACATTGATGAGAGAGAAGATCGATTGGCTGCCTGCTGGGGATCGGCCTCTGGGGATCAGGCCCACAAGCTGGGCTTGGAGCCCACAACCTGGGCATGTGTCCTGACCGGGAATCAAACTGGAGATTTCTTGGTGCATGGGTCAGTGCTCAACCACTGAGCCACACTGGCCGGACCTGAGTTTTTTAATTAAAGAATTTACCAGTGTTATTTTTTCTGTGTGAGCTTTGTTTAAAAAATTTTTTTTCATGTGTTCTGTATTTAAAGTTGAAGTTACCTGGAGTAAAACTGAGGTAAGTGTCACATTATTTTTTGTAGCACTAACTTAATATTTTGGGACATTTTCTCTGGCTAAACCTTCTTGTATGGTTGTTAATTTAAAAGAAAATTATATATATATAAATATATAAAATATGTTTATGTTGACTTAATTTCCATAGCTGGAATGAATGGCTAAAACTGCCTGTGAAATACCCTGACCTGCCCAGGAATGCCCAAGTGGCTCTGACGATATGGGATGTATACGGACCAGGAAAAGCGGTGCCTGTGGGGGGGACAACGGTTTCGCTCTTTGGAAAATACGGGTAAGCATTCTCTTCTTATCTACAGGGATGTTGTAGTTTTCTGGTCCTTTGCTTTTTTGGAAAGCTTTAATACTTTATGCCCAGTCTGGTGTTCTATTTGTACATGTTTGGTACATGATTCCATCATTCTTGAGACTGAATTTGACACATTCCTGTGGGATATGCAGATAGATGAATTAAGAAACACAATTTATTACAATTTATGTTACTCTACTGTTAGTGATTGGTGATATGATTCCTATTAGAAAATAGTCATTGGAAATTAGAATCTTACCTTTAGGAGAAAAACGGCTATGTGACATATATTATAACAGCTTTATTTTACTGCATTGTTGTAATAATGATAGAAAGGACAATAAGTAGGGTTAAGAAGCACTAATTTGCTAATAGTTATAATTATTATAATAGGAAAGTTGTTAATTCAAATTTCAAATTTTTAAATTTCAAATTTTAAATATTTGCAAATATAGGAGTTTACTGTGAAAAAAACAGTAACCCATATTTCTGTCCCGTTTCTCCTGGAACAGAGGAATCACTCTTTATCTTTGGAGAATTGTTGATATTTTATTATTTTTTCTGTGTATATTGGAGAAAGAACTTGGTCTTTTATCACATATTGAGTTACCTTCATATACAGTTTATATAGGAAGGACAGGTAGAGGCATGTTTTATCTTTTTTCCCTTTCATTCATTAAGAATGAGTTGGGGCCCTGGTAACCTGCAAAGGTAATAATTGCTGGTTTTTGTTTTTCGTCTTCATGTTTTGTCATGAAGTTTTAGTCTTAACCATTTTTGAAATGTTTCCATTGCTATCTTTATTCTTTATAATGCTCAGAAACTGCCATGTTTAGTCCGCAGGAGCCCCTTGAAGTCGATCCATGTCCTTTTGGTAGTGCTCCCTTAGTCATTAGTCGCTTCTGTGCTTTCTGGTCGACAAGCTATTCCAGGCTCATTGGGCAGTTTTTTCCCCAGACCTGGTGTCTCTGAAAGATGTCCTGGTTTCTTTCACTGCCTCAGAGTAGAGACCTTAATCTAAAGATGATCACACGTCTTAGTTTTTGTCCATTTTAAAATTGAGAAATGTTTATCTCCTGAATTCTCACACTATTAAATATGAATGAGGATGGTCATATTTTGATATTTGCTATTTGTGTTTGTGTCCGAATTGCTTTTTGATGCCTTGTCTCATTTCTTTAAAAAACTGAAAATATAATTCACATACCCTAAAATTCTTGGCTTTTTTGTTGTTGTTATTTTTCTTATTAATGTATAAGGTTGTCCTTGTAGATTAATAATATCAGTCCTTTGTGTGTTACATGCTACAAATATTGTTCTTCTTGTTTGACATTTTATTTTTAATTTCTTAAATATTTGTTTATTTGCTTGCTATTCATGGATCTTTAATTATGATGTTGAATTTATTGGTTTTTAATGACCTGTGAATTTAACATTTTAGAAAGTCATTTCTCAGTTAAAAAAAAATTATTTGCTTCTGTTATAGTTTTAATTGAACACATTTCAATCTTTGATTCATCTAAAATTACTTTGTGAAAGGAGTGATATATTGGGTCAGTTGTTTTTTGTTTTGTTTTTTTAACAACAGTTGGTTCGTTATTTGTTTCAACAGTATTCATTGAGTAAGGCATTTTTTCTACCTGTTTTGAAATGGTATCCTTATGTATTTAATTCATTATGTATTGGCATCAAAGCGGAACAGTGTAGTATATCATATGGTGGTTAGGAAGGCAGGTAATAGAACTGGTTATTTGGGTTCAAATCCTGCATCCTTTGCTAAATGTCTGTGTATGCTTGTGCAGTTATTTAATGTACTTATGCCTCAGTTTTCTCATCTGTAAAGTGAGATAACAGTAGTATTTACCTCATAGAGTGGTTTATGATGATAAATTACTAAAGGCATAATGAGCTTAATGAGCGCTCAGTAAATATTAGTGGTCATTATTTCTGAACTAGTCTATTAGTTTTCAACACTATTATATATTAATATGTTCTAGTATTAGATAGGGATAATCTCATCATCAGTCCTCCTTTTAGAATTTCTCTGGATATTCTCTTTGTTTTGTCAGATGAATTTTAATATTGCTTCCTCAATTTAAAAAGAGTTCTTTGTTATTTTGTTGGGAAATTATATTGCATCATGTATGTTAAAGAGATAATTGACACCTTTATAATATTGCATTTTTCTATCTGGGAGTAAGGTGTTTGAGAAATGCTTAAACTCATGAATAAAATCTAGATGTAATTCCACTTAGAATAGCTTGATTGCTTAGTAATGTGTAGGTATTTTATTTTAATGCAGTTATTAAAGAGATATTTATTATTGAAATCCGTGCAGGAATAGTAATTTAGATGTAGTCTGAGGCTTTGATAAAATAGTATGTTACAGTAGAACGGACATGTTACTAAATCAGTATTGCTCCTTTTCCAGAGTGTTTGTTCCTTTTTACTCTTCTAGGTTGAGGTCTGCTTGCCGCAGAGACACAGTTCGCAGCAGTTTATTTCTCATACTATAGTCTCAGGGTTAAATGTTCTTGAGGTGCAGCCAGATAGACTTGTGGTTTTACCTCCTGGCCTCTTCATAAGTGGTTTACCTTCTGGAATCTTAGCTGGAGGTTCCCTCATAAAAATAACCTCTTTCGCACTCATGTGCATTTCAGATGACCATAGTATGTAGTTTTAGGAGACACTGACCAGAGTATGGGTTTAAGACAACTGAAATTTTCACAGAAGTGTAGTAAGATGACCAGCCTAAAGCAGATAACTCTTTCTCAGATTGACATTTGTGATACTGTTTCACTCAGGCTTTGGCAAGTTTTTAAAAAGTACATGGAATCAGTAATGATCAATCTATGTGTAAGAATCATCTGGTAAACTCACTGAAGCACCTTCCTGCATTCTAATTCCGTAAATGTCTAGTGGGGCCCAAGAATCAGCACTTTAATAAGCATCCCGAGTTACTCTGTGCAAGGTGGCCTAAGGACCACACTTTGAGCAGCACTGCATTAACCTTTCCATAGTAATCTATTTATATGACTTTTGCATGCAGTTCTTCTCGGGGTTTCTTTACTCCACCCCTGGTACCCACTTCATTTGTATTTCTGTGTATATCCCAGTAAAGGAATTTCTTTGCCTTCTATCCACACATACTAGGAACATGCCTGAGACAGAAATCAGGAGTATTAGTTCTACTTTAAGAAGTAATTCAAGCCCAAACATTTTCATAAAGGTAATAGTAGCAATAAGTGGGGGTTAAATTTCAATTAGTTTTCTGGTATTGAATAAATGAAGACTTTAAATCTTACAGAGTCATCTGTTTTGTTTCCTGAAAAAAAATTATGCTATTCCTCCATATCCTGAACACATCAGATGTTAGATACAAATGAAACGTGTTGGCCCAGCTGGTGTGGCTCAGTGGATTGAGCATAGTCCCATGGACTGAGAGGTCCCTTATGGATACCCGGTCTGGGCATATGCCCAGGTTGCGGGCTCAATCCCCAGTAGGGGACATGCAAGAGGCAGCTGACTGATGTTTCTTTCTCACATCTGTGTTTCTGTGTTTCTGTGTCTCCTTTCCTCCCTCTCTGAAAAAAGCAATAAAAACATACATATATATATATATATATATATATATATATATATATATATATCTTTTTGCACTTATCTTCAGATACAGAGAGAGGAAGAGAGAGAAAGAAAGAGAGAAACATCGATGTGAAAGAGACACATCGAGTGGCTGCCACCCACACAACACCAACCCGGGCCGGGGACAAACTGCAACCGAGGTACATGCCCTTAGCAGGAACCGAACCTGGGACTCTTTGGTCCATGGGCCGATGCTTTAACCACTGAGCCAAACCAGCCAGGGCAAAAAAAAAAGTTTTTTTTAAAAAATGAAACTTGTTGGAGAGCAGCATGGATTCTGAGAGATTACTAGTCTCCCTTAGAACAGGGTTTCGCAAACTTGAGTCTCACCACTGTAAGAATGCTTATGTATCTCTGTACTAAATACATACACTTTTATTTATTTTATTTATTTATTACTGATAATTTTTAATTAAACCAGCTTACTTTTTTTTTTTTTTTACTTCCACTTAATTGATATAAAAATTTAGTGTCTTGCTGTACATGGAAAACAGTTGTAATTTAACTTTAGTGGTTAATGATAAAAATAAATACAATGAAAATAATTAAGTTACTGATGTTACTAAATTAAAAATTGAAGCAAGAAATACAAATAATAGTAAATCTGTTTGCTTTGGAAATATGTATATTAATACCTACAAAGAAAATCCTCCTTTAATTTGAATGCTTCTGTTTGTGCCTAGTCAGATATTCAGCTCACTGTCACTTAATTTAAGATAACGGGAAGGTTTTACATCAACATTTTCTTTTACCAGTTGAACTCCTATGCAGTGGCAGGGCATTTAGCCAAGTGATAACACTAGATAGTAATAGAACTCTATGGATACTTTGAGCAGTGAGGAAGGAATGCAAACACCTAGGTCACTTTTTTCTATTCCCTCTAAGCTGACGCTTATACTTTTCAGGAAAAGGAATTCAAAGAAAACCTATGCAATTAAAAAAATAACTCCTTTTTCTCTCTGTGCCCTGGGACCTTTCCTTGAGGGTGAACTGGGTTTCATGATACTGGACTTCCTGTGCAGCTGTGGATTATGGAAGAATATGACATTCAAGATATTTCAGGGCGTAAACATCAACTTGTACTGCTGCACAGCTGCCTCTCTGCGTGGTGCTGCTGACATCCAGGGGGAGAAAGCAGCATGAGTCTTCTGGGTGGCCTCAGCAAGAAGCCTGCGCAGATTTTCTTCCACCTACCATTAAGAATCATGTCATGTGCCTCCACATTCTCAGGACTTAGGGAAGTGGTAGTTTCCTCAGATGTTTCTTAAACAATGAAATAACACCAGATGCTCCCAACCTCATTCTCTAAATAGTCCTGGTGTGGACTTAATAGCTTTAAAAAAGTTGTATTATAGTTAGTATTGGGACTCTTGTGAATTCCAGCTCTTGTTATTTGCTAATGTCTGTTTTGTATACTTGAGTCATTGTGAAGCAGTACTTCTTGGAGAATAGTGTAATTAATAATTGAAAGACTGATCTGTTAGAGTATGGCTAGAATAACTAATGGCCCTCATTTTCAAAGCCTAGCTTCTGAGATTTCTAAGGAGGTAAGGAATGGATTGATCATTGGGTTGAATTGGCAAAGAATCATACTTAGGCAAGCTGCAGATTTCTCTTGCAGATGTTTTTTCCAACTGTGAATTCTGAAGCAGGGCAGCTGCTGCCGTAGTGGCCTGGCACTGGGAGCTGGAGACCAGCAGCAGCTGTTGCTGGGGCCTCTGCTGGCATCTGAAGGAGGGCCTGCTGTGCTGTTTCTTTTGTCTTGCCTGCTTGGCTTAATTTCCCAAGTGCACATGATGCTCTGAGCATCTTCTGGCTTGCCACCTGGAGGCTGTGTAACTCTACAAAGTTTCCATTAGTGTCAGAAGAAAGTAATATGTTCACTTGATCATTTGAGTCACTTGCTATCACCCCTGCCCTCCATGTCTCCTATCCTTAAATTATATCTCCAGATCCATCCCAAGGCACCTAAATCATGTGGTAAACTGACTTCCTGCCAAACATACTTATTTTTTATTTAGTTAAGTTCAGCCAATAGAAGTATTCACTGGGGTGTAAGAAGGTGGAGAAAAGGGAGACCCGATCTTTCTGAAGGTACATTTAAGGATAATCATTTAAAGTGATCTTGTTGCCTTACTGTACCTACTTTCTTAGAGACTAAGCAGGCCTGCTTGAAAGGGAAAGAAAATGAACTTTATTATTGGGTGATATATATGCTTTTTGTAGCATAGTGTAAAAAAAAAAAAGTCTCAAAAATGGTAAATATTAAGAATTTTGGTTCTTCACAACCAGTCAGTGCATTTGTATTGGCCCTATAAGGTCAGCTTTCGCAAATATGGTTGCTGGATATTACCTGTTTATTGCCAACCTTAAAGACCTTACAACAGATATGGTCTTCAGTCTTATTGTGCTCATAAGCTTGTAGCTAGCCTTTATAGTTCCCAATCTAAATGTTGATGGCATCATTACTTTGCATAACGTTCAGTGAAAAGCCTCTTTATTACTCCAGGAAAATCTGTGAAGAAATTTTCCATTAGCCAAAACATGATAATAGTTTTAAAAATATATGTAAACTTTTACAGTTCGGTGCAATGTTTTAAAGATTGAAAAAAATGTATCAATGTATATGCAACATGTACCTTATTTTAGAAAAAAATATTTAATGTGAGAGTGTGCAGAATGCTTTGGACTTGTGTATTCAAATGCACACTTACAGTCTTACTGTTTCCACGGCAATGGGCAGCATGCTCTTTCAGCTTTGAGAGTGTGCTCCTTGAGTAGACTTGATATTGTCCAAGCAGTTTCATTTAAAAAAAAGAAAAGTACTGAAAAGGAGAGAACACACTAACAGAAGATTTTCTTTATCTTTAACACTCCTATAGAAAAACAAAAACAAACTCAGAAACTTAACAGTAGCATATCTAAAACAACAATTGTCCAGAGTTTTTTTATGAATTTGTCCAATCTGTACGCTAGATCTTCTAGGCAGTTTTTGAAGGAAATGTGGCAGTCAAAGGTCAGAAAGTCTTTCACCTTAAAGCAGGATCACCAAGCTCAGATGGAAGTTCTGACTATATGTTTTTTAGACATGGGAATTTTTTCTTATGTGAATCCACTATTGTATTTCTCACTAGACCTTGCTCTTAGAGAAAAGAAGACAGGAGCAGAATCAACCTGCACCTGGGGAAAAGGGTAATAAGAGTTAACATTTATTGAATACTTAATATGTAGCAGGTACTTTTTACTTGTGCTCATTTATTTAATTTTTCTAGCAGTCCTGTGAGATACAGGTACTCTCTATAATCCCTTTTTATAGATGAGGAAACTGAGGCACAGAGAAGTTAAGCATTTTATCCAAGGTCACCTAGGTAATAGCACAACTGGGATTCAAGCCCCAGCAGTTTGACCGTACAGTCTACGATGCTGACTTGTCACATAAAGTAGATAGTTATGTAATTATTTAGATTTTGTTTCAGTCACTGTAAATGTGACATTTTTCCATTGGGTAGGATTTGGTCTCCATTATTTCTAAGATCTCTGCTGAAGTGATGAAGGGAAGGTGTATGATCTATTACAGATCCTTCAATTGGTGTAGTCTACCTTTAGAATTTCTGTAAAAGTTCTGACTGCTTGGAGGAGAAAAGAATGGCATGTAAAAGACAGTGTTACATGGATTTTAGTTGCTTAGTTAATTGCTTTACAACCCACTGGAGGCTTAAAGCTTGGCAAGAGAGACATGCATTTCCTAGTGTGGAAATCTCTCTGCTTAGGGATCTAAATTTTCCTGTAATGAACTGTATTAATTTACTTCTACCCTGAACTTCTCTTTTTGCCTAGCATGTTTCGCCAAGGGATGCATGACTTGAAAGTCTGGCCTAATGTAGAAGCAGATGGATCAGAACCCACAAAAACTCCTGGCAGAACAAGCAGTACTCTCTCAGAAGACCAGATGAGCCGCCTTGCCAAGGTAAAAAGGCACTGTTGGAACAGGTGAAAGCCCTGAATGTCTGTTATAGTGTACATTCACATTTTGAATTGTCAGATTATTTTTAAAGTTAGATTTACTTTTTTAACAGTTTTATTGAAATATAATTTACGTATTATAAAATTTACTCTTAGAAAATACAGTGCATTAAGTTTTAGTAAAATTCACAAGAGTTGTGCAGTCATCACCACTATTCAATTTTAGAACACTTTCATCAAAAATGTAACCATGTACCCAATAGCAGTCATTCCCCATTCCCCCTTTCTTCCATCCCCTGCAACTACTAATCTACTTTCTGTCTTCATGAATTTTCCTGTTAACTTAATTTCTAATATTTTCTTTCCTTTATTGATTTTAGAGAGAGAGGAAGGGAGAGGGAGAGAGAGATAGAAACATTGATGAGAGAGAACATCGATTGGCTACCTCCTGCATGCCCCCCACTGGGGATTTGGCCCACAACCTAGGCATGTGCCTTGACTGGGAATTGAACCGGCGACCTCTTGGTGCATGGGTTGATGCTCAACCACTAAGCCACACCAGCCAGGCATACATTTCTCATTTTCACCTTTTGAATTTTATGGTTGGAAAAAAACGTGACTTGATAATAATTAACTTTTAATGGTTGAAAGACTGACCCCCCTTCAAAAGCTGTAGGGGTTCATATTTATTTTTTTTGTTTCAGTGTACATTTGCAACTCTAGAAATGATGGCTAAGCATGCAGAGCTACATGAGATGTAGGGCAGAAGCCCTCTTAAAATTTTGTTAATTGGTAACCGTGATCATCAACAATCTAAATTTTTTATATTGGAGAGTGTGGCAAGTTGGGTCCTCCTTTTTAAAGAGATAATTATTAAAATTTATATGCTGTCTGTATTGCCCAGAGTGGTTAACCATTTTTCAAGTAAGTCTTTATGCATTGGTTTCTAAATTTTAAAATAGGAATAAAAATTAATGAGAATAAGCATCTCACAGTCTTTGTGATGCTAATTGAAGATGAACTTTTTCCCCAAAGTTCTTTGCCTCTAATAGAATTATTCTTTTTTACTTAAGTAGAGACTTTGGAGCTTGCTATACTGTGACAGCTCGCATTAGTGTTAACTCATGTCCCCCAGAAACTAAATAGAAACTATTAAAACCAGTAATTACTTTTCTTAAGGGGAAAAGTGCATCATGTTTGTAGCATTGTTGAAGGAACTGTTCCCTCTTTGAAGGAAGCTTTTTATTTCTTGACACTTTGGGCTAATAATAGGTCACATTTCTCTCTATGCACCGGTTGGTCATGTTCTTTGAGGTTTCAGAACCTGTTATATCCCTGCTGCTTATTGAAGAAGAACTTGTTTTAAAAGTGATGTCATCTTAGGTTTGATAAAATTGGAAGCTTGGGCACTCAGGAGCACTCGACAGTGGCAAGAGCCCTGTAGTATGAGTCAGAGATTTGCCATCCTGCTGACTCAGAGAAAATCATTTCAGAGCCTGTAAAATGGGAAGTGTAGAATGAATGATTTCTGAGGTTCAGTGTAGCTATGCATATTCTGTGATTCTAAAAGCACTGAAAAAATAGATAATTGGGATTATTTATCTGCCTGCATTCTATAGTTATCACCTTAGTAGAAAATAATCATGTGGTCATCAGTCTGCATTTGTGAATGTGTTGTGTTCACATCATTTTTTTTCTTCAATGAGTATGCCTGGGGCACAGTGTTATTCAGGGCCTGCCTAATGTGAATGATGTGGGCATGCTCTTAGATTTGTTGTTGTTATCATTGGATTAGTGCCTGTTTCTTTACTTAACATTTTCAGACTGGATTCCCCAGTCTGTTTCCCTTGTCTTGTACCAGAGAAGGTGTACTTTGGTATTTGTTATGGTCTTAACTTCTAAACTTACCAGAGAGAGAAAATACTTTGATATTTGTTCTGTTCTGAACTTAAAATTACTCATTTTGTTTAAAATTGTGCCAGTATAGCTTGGCCGGTGTGGCTCAGTGGTTGAGCATCACATGCACCAAGAGGTTACCAGTTCGGTTCCCAGTCAGGGCACATGCCCAGGTTGTGGGCCAAGTCTCCAGTGGGGGGCATGCAGGAGGCAGCCAATTCATGTTCTCTTTAATGAATCTCTCTCTCTCCCTCCCCCTTCCTCTATCTCTAAAATCAATAAAGGAAAAAAAAATTTTTTTTTAATAAAATAAAATTATGAAATTTTTCCATCCATCCCTGACACTCTCATCCCTCCCCCCACCTCTCATTTTTCTGGTTCCACATTGAAAAGTGTGTTCAGTTAGATTATTATTTTCTCCTGCAAATGTTTTGAAATTATTTTTGGTAAAGTAATACACTTTAAAATACTGGGAAAGAAAGTGTATGCTCATGTATCTATTTTCATACAAAGGAACAGAAATTTTAAATGTAATACTTATATTTTCCACACTCCCACTTTAAGACAAGAAATGAGTATACAAATAGATGAGGTTTAAGGGGTTAGAACTGAATGGTTTGTTTCTTGTTGCACTTTGATTTTCCAACCAGAGAATTTACTATGAATTTTTCTAATTGTAGAGAAGGCAGTTGGCTTAGGAGTAAAAAGGTGTACATAAATCTTAATAATAGGACAACATAGTTACCGTGCTTTGTACCCATGAGCCAAAATAAATAGCAGAGTGACGGTTTCAAACTGCAGTGTTAGAAAGTTTATTTAGTTGCAGAACTGCTGAAGTCTTGGCTGCCTGGGGATAATGGGACAAGAGGACTGTGAAATGAAGATGAACCATTTAAATGGCCTGTGGAAAGATAGTGTTAGATATTATTAAACAAAGAACCTCAAAGTCAAACTGGATTAAATATTCTTATTCTGATTCATTGCTCAGCTATGAAAGTAGAATTATAACTGCAACATGAGTAACTGAAGTTTAAAAGACTTATGTCTGGGTTTAACATTTTTAAAAAATCACATCCTTTCAGAAGAAGAATTTTAGTGGAATTAACCTCTGTAATGATTTTACATCATTTTTTGAACATGTATAGTTTTCCTTTGAGGAAAAATGGGTGTGAAAAAGGAGACAAAATTGAATAGTCTTCGGTTCAGTTATTTTACATAACTGTATTTCTTAGATTTAACAGGGAACTGAAAGAAATGAATGTATTAAAATACACTCATCCCCCCCATCTTCCTCATTATTTTCTCTTTTCTATCTCTAAATTTTCCTAATTAATATTTAGTAATATAGTATCTTTCTGTTTGAATTGATTTGTGAAAATAATCAAAGGCCAGACTTCTGGGACATTTATTATACGTTCATTGTCCATGACCCAGCCTTTTAATGACTGTGGCCTTGAGCAAATTTTCCCATTGTTCCCATCTGCTTGTTTTTCAGCTTGTCATATTTTAGGAGTTTTATGACTAGGATACGTATCCACCTGGGGTTTTGGATGTGACTACCAGGCTTTAGTGTTTGATTTATATTTGAATCCATGCCTTTAGGCATGAAAGGTTAGTGCAGAAGCATGCTTCTCTACTGTCTCCTTTTCATTTTAGCATCTCTGCTTGATGCCTTTGGAATGTGCTTTAGTTTCTGTCAATTTGATTAAGAGGTGGCAAAGAGAAAGTAACAACTAGATGAAAAATGTTTTGTGGTCTGAGTGACACAGATAGGTTGGGGGATGCTGAGCAGTGTGTAAGTGATCATTGGTACAATGCAGTAGTGGTAAGATGTGATGTCTTAGACTGGCCTTCACATTGCCTGCATGGGGTCACTCTGGTCCAGGATCCAGACCTCAGGTTTATAGCAATAGGATCTGGATTTTTCTAGTTCATCCAGAAATAACTAGTATCTTGAGAATAGGTTTGTATCAGCCAATTAAAATGGTTATAATGTAGAGCTATAATAGTCATAATTCACATGGGGCAATTTGAATTCAAGTTAATTAAAATTAAATAAAATTCAGAATTTTATGTTACCATAATTATGTTGTCATAATCACATTTCAAGTGCTTAATAACCACATGTGGCTGGTGGCTACTTATTGGACAGTAAAGATAGAGAATATTTTCATTACTGCTAAAAGTTTGATTGGACAGCACTGGTCTAGAGTGTCAGTTTACTAATTTGTAATGGATGAGTAACCATATTATTGTCTTCCTGGTAATACCGTCACTTGTGTCTGCTGCCCAGGACACCATTTTTTCAATACCTTGGAAATTAAATTAATCTTCAGGAGATTATTGATTTCTTAGTGAGCCATGAAGAAGCTAGACAGGTGTGTGAGATATGTCTCTCATTTTGAGGGAAGTCTTAAAAGGACTCTCTCTTGACATTATCTTTCCAGTTGCAAGATGACTCGGATATGCTGTACCCACCACATCTTTTGAATACACATTGACAAATTATCATGATCACAAAACAATCCTTTGAAATTGAGGTTCAGGTAAGAAGAAAATTTTTGGTCACATAATTTAGTGAAGTGGGATTGAAGCTCTTCATGTAAAAGTATTATTTGACCTGCGGAAACATTTGCCCTTGAAAGACAATATTTGCCCTTGAAAGACAATATTTGAATGAATTGCATTCAGTGGGTACTTCTCCTGAGGCATTAATTAGAGGCATACACTGAGATTTTTATTTAAGTATGTGGGCAAGTCCTCTTTGTCTCTACCATCATCACCTGCTATGTGGAAGGCACACTTCTAAATGTTGGAGACAAAGTATATTACCAGGTTGATACCATCATTATTATTAATTCCATTTTGAAGAATAATAATAACTATAATGAAATCACCTTTCATGTATAAAGCGCTTCAATATCTATAATACCCTTTAGTGTAGATTGAGAACTAAAATGGAAAAATGGTTAAAATCATGGTTTTGGACACCATTTTTCATCCAGTTGTGTCTGTTGTTTAAGTGTGGTCTTGGATTAGCTACTCAACCCTTACTAAGCTATGAAACCCTCATCTGTAAAATAGGAATAATAGTTGTATCTACTTGTT